GCATACGGAAGAAAAACCTTAATCTTATCCCCCAGCGTCGGGAAAGGCTTCGAGCTTAACGAAGACTCAGCTGCGTTCAAGTCAAGGAGGAATGAACATAAAAGACCTCCCAATTCGCCAACGACCGACACAAACATATAAGAATCAAAGGGAAGTACGCACAAGAATGAGAGACTAGACTTACCAGATTTTTAGGCGGAGATCGACCATCTGTTTAGGCGTCTGGAAAGGCGATTAAAGCCCAAACTTCTGCCCTTAGTCGATTGCAACGTAGACAATCTCACAGAGTCTGTTTGCCTTCACAGCAGAGTTGTTTTGCTATAAGAAATGGGTAAAATTCCTGTTTTACGCTGGGCGGCCACCTGGACGCATGATACTTCCTCACCAAGAGGAAGCGTATCATCTGATAGACGAATTGCTCTGTAGTAATGTTATATACCCATCCAGGTCACCTTGGTCCTCAACTATTGCACTTGTGAAGAAAAACGATGCAGTCTACAGTTGTGTACCAATTACAGAAGGCTAAGCACAGTAACATTGAAGCATGTTTTCGCTGACCTGCGTAAATAACTTACTAGATTAGCTGCAGCTGTCCAAGTGGTTTTCTACACTGGCAGGATGAAGGTACAGAGGAGAGCAGAAAATAAACGACTATCACAATTCTCGACAAATTCCAGACAGTGTCCTTTGGACCATAACAATGGTAGCTACCTTGCTAGGACTGATGCAAACAGCATTGCGTAGTCGCTGCTCAAAACACTGCATTATCTACTTTGATGACACTCGTTTGTGGTAGAGGCAGTTGAAAGCACATCAACAAACTACGACTAACGTAAGATCGCCTTTGAAATACAAAATCAACGCAAAAATAAACGCAGGTTTCTTTAAAGTTCAGTCACCCTCTAGACAACCACCCAACGGGTTGGCGATCATGGTTGACCGCGCGAAGCATGTACGTACACGGTCAAAGCCAACCAACCAACCAAACGGAACTTTAGAGTCTCCTCAATTAGCTGAACTAATGCAGACGCTTTATTAATGTCGCTAGCCCACAACACAAGTTTACATGATAACAATAAAAAAGGTTCTCCAAAGGGTGACGTTTAAAGAACTGCTAGGTTCTTCGCGCAGCAGTGGTACTACTTCCGCCAAACGTGGACGCCAAAGCTCTGCTCCGCGCAATGGACACAAACACGGGTGATGCAGCTGTAGGGACGAAGACGAAGGGGAACACGTCATCGTCTACACCATCTCCAGAGTGAATAAAAATGAGACAGAATAGTGCAACGGAGAATACGAACCAACAGATCCTGATTTGATTGAAAACAATGGAGGAAGTCGGCAGCTCAGCTGTATACTGTGTAAGGAGGTTTAGCAGTACGACTTCACTGTTTAATATGGAAGGAAAGGGTGGTTGATCCTCCTCGGAGTA